CCCCCCTTGGACCCGGCCCCTGGGGTTACAACCTGGGTTCAACCCCAACCCCCAACCCGCCCCTGCGGGGTATGCTCCTTGCCAGAAACGGAGTTGCGAAAAAACGAGAAAGCTAGACCCACGAAAAATGTTTTTAAGCTTGAAAACGAATTCTGAGCGTGCCAGTCCATCAGCTCAATGTGTTTGCACTTCTTGTCCAAAGCGTGTCTTGTGTCTCAAAACACTTCCACTGGACTCTGCGTGACAGGGGCCGCATCCGAGGATTTGACAAAAGAGCTCTGAAGCTCGAAGCATTCGAAGGTGAAGCGTTGAAGAAGAGGGAGCAGAGGAGGGGAACCGCTTCGAAGAGTCCCAAAGGACAGATCAAAATACCCAACAAGTTTTTTTTTAACTCTAACGACCCAACTTTCAGAATGTTCGCACCCACTAGAGATGAGCAACGTGCAAGATTCTAGTTTGCCAAAAACTGAAACACGTCACGTTGCAAATTGCAGCGCATCATGGAGTGATGGCGGTTGCGTTTTCTGCGTCTAAGACGGCTACAACCAAAGGAAGATTTGCCAAGATGTTGCGAAGAAGGTTAAAGGGGTGCTGAAGAGCTTCCAAAGGCTTAAAGAGGCGTAAAAAGAGGACTAAAGAGAAGCTAGGGCTTTAGGTGGAGCTTGAAACAACTCTTGCGCCCGCTGCTTGTTGACGCTGGGCTTGGATCTTCTGACGTTGTCATCTGAGCTTCTGTCACAGTTTCCATGCGCCTCAACACCCCAAACGCATAACTACTGCTCCACCCTTGTGCTGGGCAGTCTTGGGTGCCGACCCACTTCTGTCTTGGAATATGCTGCACAGTGCGTGGGGATGTGGTCATCTCTGGCAGCTGCCCTTGCTCTCACCACATCTTTGCGGATGTGGCGGCAGTTCGTAAAGTAAACTAAGGTGTCAGTAAGGGATCTATGGGGCAAGCTAGTCAGCTAGCTGGGTTATTTCCCGGTTGAACGGTCCATATGCCACTGGGGTTTAGGCTTCGTGTATGCAGTTGATGAGGTCAAGTGTCGTAAGGCTTAAACGCGCGGGTTCAGGACGTATGTATGCTATACGATTTATGTGGCTATGTGGTCAGGTCTATATAGCGCGCAGTAGTTTACGGCTTCAACCATACTACATGATCTTGTACAAGAGTTTATGGCTTCTAGCATACTATATGACCTTTAGCAGTTGAATCATGAAAGGTTTCGTATTTTTTAAGCTTTCAGATCATGCTGAGCCAATATTCGCCTGCAGGCTCAACTTTGTTGAGTTTCTGAAAAGCGTTAACTTTCGGAGCTAGGGACGTGTTCCTGCTTCAATACGGACAGAAAACATAAAGCCTCCTCGGCTCCAATCGTTAGAGCCGATGAGGTTTTATTTCTGCTGTCCGTCTTGAAGCAGGAACAAGTCCCTAACCTGAATGCATGATTTGGCATCATCCGCAATTCTTTGTTGTGGTCTCTATCCGGGACCCCGAATGAAACCAAATCGGCCCCGAATGCGAGCAAATTGCCGTTTTAGCCAGTAGGCAGACGGCAGATTGGATGGAGGGGACATCGTTGACGTGCCAAGTATGGAAGAAGAGCCGCTCCACTTCCCCCTCAGTTTTCGGGACATATGCAGGCGCTGCGAGGACTGTGTAAGCTTGGCACATTTTCGCGATGTTGCCACCATTCTCCTCCACCTGCGGGGCATGGAGACCCTCAGCCAGCTCCTGACAAGCCTGCAGGAAAAGTAGCAAGGTGGGCTGGCTTCCCCCGCAAAATGAACTTGCGGACGGCGTAGAAGTGAGGTTGTGCCAGTGGTAGGGGGTGAAGGCTCAAGGTGTCCACTGCATTTATGTGAAGGCTACCGATGAGGCCGATGTGGTTTTGTGCAGTGTCGCCGTCGGTGCACGCTCTGCTCAAGCTAAACACACATCGAAACAGGTTTACACGATTCGTGCGGCTCGCAGGAAGTGATGGCAGCACCTCCCAACATTTCGCCATGCCAGCGCAGCATCACAAGCGCCCAGTGCAATCTGCTACCAGTAGTTACAGTAGTTTGACTGGTGGCATTTGATAGAGTTCAGGGCGCCCAGGGGCTCGATCCATACGGCTGTCCGAGAGCCCCTTGCTTGCGGGTTTGCAGGTATCGACGATGCTCCAGTGCTTGCAAATTGATGTGAAACGAACTGAGATTGAGAGTAGATGCCTTCTATTGACCTCAGTTCTTGACTTGAAGCGGCTTTTCCGTTCTGCTCGGCGACGGCTGAAAATCAGGCAAGCGCTTCGGCAACAAGTTACAGTTTTCACGAAGAGTATTACTACAAGCAAAAATAAGACATGCACCAAAGGATGCTCATTACTAAGTCACTACTACAAGTGCCAATCCCACGAGCGTTTCTCACAACAATTAGTGACGATGGCAGTGATGGTGATGGTGAGCATCATGATGATAATGATCTTGATGATGGTGATGCCGTGGGTCATGACATGTATGCCAATGACTTGCTGGGAGAGCCTCGGCCGTGCAGTAGGCCTGTCATTTCATAAAGGTCTTTCATGGAAGGTCTTGTCGGAGAACGGGGCTATGTCGGAACCCAACCTCCTCAGACCTGCAATGCTTACAGCGCAGCTCACGAGAATCACAATGTTGATGCAGCATGTTTTCGGCATGATTTCAGTGCTTCCCCAGCAGCGTTTTTCTTGGCCGTAGAACCTGAAGAGCTGAAAGCGGGAGATGTCATGCAGCCGTGGCACAGTCATAGCCTCGGAAAATGAAACTCGCACGTTGCTGTTCAGATTCATCAGCGTGCATCTGGGTCAGGTCCTTCAGCCCAGATTGTCACCAAGTTGCCTGTGCAAAGCCAATGTGCGGGCCAGGAGAAGTCATTGTAATGGCATGTACATCATGTCCGTTTGTGTGCCAGCAGTGTTCCTACTGTCTGTCGAAGTTGCGAGGAGTGGCTTTGGACACGCTCGCGTCTTGAAGAATGTGAAGTTTCTCGCCATCGGCTCAGCGGCTGGTCGCTTGTTGTCCGCTGGATAGAAGCTGCGAGCAAGAGTCAAGCAAACAAAGACGCCGATTGAATTGTCAGAATTTCCGAACCACAAGGTTGGGTCCGCGTTGGGTCTGGACCACGGCTTTGGCATCACAGGGATGCGCTAGCATGGAGTCCCGGGTGGTACTGTTTGCAGGCCCCGTGGTCTCGTGGCGCGATGGCGACCGGAGCATCTTGTGCTGGTGAGCGTTGCCCTGTGACGGATGACAGCGCCGTTAAACAAGTGTGCAAAAGTTGAGGTACAGGGCTTCCTGTTCTTCTTTGAGTCTGAGGAGCCATTGCAAGTCGTCCATGCGCCGGGACCTTGGCAATTGAACTCATGTCGAGAAAGCAGCGCTTGAGTTGTCGCACCGGAAGGCTCAGCCTCTCGTCTGTTGTGTCCGTCACAGGCAGCGACCAGGCTGGCTGATGTGGTGCTATGGGTGTTGTCGACTGTGGTTTGTGATTCGTGATGGTTTGAGACTTGTGTGCGAAGGAGTGAATGCCGAGAGATCAGAATTTCGGCAGGCACCGCGCAACGGCGGGTTCTCCGGCGAGGCAGGCGTTTGAAAGGATATCAACTACAAATTCACTGGGAATCCCATGTCGTGCAGCCTTGGGCCAACGACGAGGAGCCCTGTCTTTTGCTTCAAGCAGTTGTTGGAGGTCGATCGGAGGCATGTCCCTCCCTTCTCGTTGCCAGTGGCAAATCCCATCTCAGCTCCTCGCGTCCTCCAGTTCCCTCGTATTCTTCCATCAGGCCGTCCGCCTACGCTTTGCCGATGAAGAAGAGACGTTGCGGTGGCAGCAACGTTTGGAGGCATCATAGGTTTCTGAGATAGAACCATAAGATTCAGTATTCGAGGTCTTGACATCGCAGGGGATGTGCAAGCTGCGCTAACTCCCCGTTGGTTTTGGTCATGGTCAGAACGGAGTTTCTGCTGGACGTTTGATGCCAACTCGCGGTTACTAGCGACGTTACCAAAGCTCAGTAGCCGGGATCGTCCACATAACCGTGGTCGTGGCAATAGTAGCACGACTAGAATGACTAGACAAATCAGGGTTGGTATCAAAAGGCAGACAATACTGTCATCTCAGAGTATCAGCAACACCATGAAGAAAGGGAGTAGTCGCAATAGTCGGAGTCACCGCAGTAACATTAGTACAGTGGTTCAAAAGATAATTGGAGTAGCGAGAGCAAGCAAGGAAGATAGCAACAGCAGTGACACTTGCTATAGTTGCAATGATAAGAGTACCTGGAGCAACGCAAAAGTTTCTGTGCTTCTGGTAGTCTTCTTCATACTCGTTCTGTAGTCGTTGTAGCCATGGAAACAATAACAGTGTTACTATCCGCAGCAATGGTACAATTGCTGGTGGTCATAATCGGAATCGTACCAACCCTATCAGTGGTAATGAGGAACAAGTGTAAGCAGTCGTACAAATACGTTTCAAGCAAATAGAAGCAACAAAGCGCTGATAGCCGTGGTCGTCGTCGTCCTAGCAATGGTAGTATTGAAGCAGTAGCAAGGGTAGTAATGTTTTTACTGTCGCACTAGCAGTAGCACTGGCACTATCAGTAGCAGCAGCAGTAGCAGTAGCAGTAGCTGTACCAGTAGCAGCAGCCGTCCACGGCAAGTGCAGTGAAAACAGTAGTAGACTTTCTAGCAGGACATGGTAATCCTTGTCGTGATCATTTGTAACTGTTAACAATAACAAATTTCTGCGATGCAGTGCTCGAAACAGCTTTTTCGACTGCAGTGGAAGCGCCATATTGCCGAACACGATTGACCTGTCACAGGGTTTCGGGGCCTATAGGTGCACTACTTTTTGTCATGACTGCGTGTTTTCCCTGGGTTTTGGCACATGTTGACACCCAGTACAGGTTCAAACGACCTTGGAGTTTGATCCGCGAGGCTGCCAAAGAGTCTGCGAAGACGCCGCAGCCGGAATTCTTTGTGCCCCTGCGCTCAAGATTGCCGAGGAGGGCAATCAAGAGGTTACAGAGCCGAATGAAATGCCCAGGCCCACCGCAAGGTTGTGGCAGGTGCTGGAGGCTGGGGTGGTGGCGATGTCACCGTAGGTAATCTTGAGAGCATCTGTTTTGCCAAGGTGTGGAAGAAGGAGGCTGAAAGTACCAAGAGGGCCGCGGTCTCCAAGCTGCATCAGCCTTAGAATCACTGGTATGTAGCAAAAGGAAGGTGGCCACGCCTGGTATCTTGGAGAAGCTCCGTGCATGCTTTCCAAGGCATCAGGAGCTGGGGCAGTGGTCGCAGACTTAGAGGAGGAAGTAGATTGCGGCCAAGTCGTTTGCATGAACCATCTGAGGAGATTCCCAGCTCAAGCGCTGCTGCTACAGACTTGGATGAAGCAGCGCTTGCAGCCGTCCTAGATGCTTGCGCCGACTTGTCCATCAACCTCTGATCTCTTAAACCCGAAGTTCCCGCACGAATGCCTCGAATGTCGTTGCATGGCCACTAGCCGATGCCTCGATGTCGACCACAAGCACAGCGTAAGCCCTGACAACCTTGCAGGTTGATGGGGTTCGATTCAGTTGCTGTTCTCGCAGACATGACAAGATTGTGCAAGCCCCTTAATTTCGAAATCGAGCGATGTGCAACTGATGACGTTGACCTTGCCTGCTTCACTCGTTTTCAGAGTTGGAACCTTGACGTTCTCAAGTTAGGCGAAAGAGTCTGCTTCCTTTGGTTCTAACATGGGTATGTCTTTTGTGCTTGTCTCTGGGGTGGTGATATCTGCTTCTCACGTGGTCGTGTCGCTGTGCATGTACTCGGTTTGGGGTCTAGGGTCTGAGAGAGGAGTGACAAGAGTTTTCAGATCAACCGCGTAGCCGCACGAACATCTTGAATTGGTCTTTATTAAGAGCTTGGTTACATGAGCAACTTACTTTTCACTGGGCCAAGACCGAAATTGGGGCAGAGGGCATCACCGAAATGCTCGAACTCGCGATGTGCTATACAATGTATAACAGTTTACTGCAAGCTTTGGGTTGAAGCCTTGGCTTCCCCGTCTATTTTTTGACCAGAACCGCTCCCTCCCTTTCGCATGTCCCCGCATGTCTCGATGCCGTGGTCAAGTCCACTTGCAACTTCCCTTCTCTTGCTCCACCATGCCTCACTGCAGGCCCGCAGGAGCGATTGACGAAAGTCTGAGACGGGAATCGTTCTGTTTTTGCCGATTGGGTTACGCAGGACTCAAGGGATGAAGGACTCTTCAGGATCAGCTATGTTTTGCCCCAATGATGGTAAGTATCCCCAATCAATGCACTCCTGAAGGTCGAGCCGCCTCAATCTCTTCCTGCACCGAGCCTGCAGGGCGAGTCTCTCGGGATCTCTCGCATCGTTCCTTGAGCTTGGACTGCGACGCATGAGTCCTGACCAAGGTGAGCGACAGAAAAGGCGGGGAATGCGATGCAACCGTTGGCTGAAGGGTGTCATGTGTGGCAGTGTAGCAAAGACCATAAGTGTTAAGACTACTTGTGCTTACCTGCCTTGCAAGGTGCTGGGATGGTAGCGGCATCTCTAGCAGCTTTGCATCTCTCACGCGCAGCGCAGACGCTGAAACGAAAGCGGCTGCTCTGGGTCTAGCTGGCACTCTTGACCTTGCCTGCAGTTGACTCTGCATCCCGAGTGTTTCCTGGAGCCTACCTTGTCCTGCCAGGCTTTTCGAAGCATGTCGCGTTGGCGTCCCTTGCAAGGTGACCCACTGTCAACTTATTTTGAAGATTGACGGTTGGATGGCTCGAGCGATCGCCGACTGTTCTGTTTTGATATTCAGGTCTGGAGAGCCTTCTCCGCTGCAGAGTACGCCGCACCTCATATGCGATGCTGAAGGCTGTGGCAGATAAAGCTGTGCAAATGTGTTCACGAAAACTCTGCGCCGTTCAGGTGCTTCTACACTCATGGCTGCGTGCTGCGGTTGAGTTAGCTGCCTCTGCACGAGGCTTTCCGCATCCCGCCGGCACGGAATGGACGTTCCCAGAGTGCAGTGTCAGGTCCCGAAGTGAAGCACTCCATGGTTCTGTCTTGCCAGGCGTGGCGTTCGTCCTGATGCTCCTTTGGTGATCTTGTGAGAGCTAGCAATTCAGGTGCCGGTGCAAGCCGCTGCCTGGGATGCCGAGGGCTTGGACACGGTACTGGCATTTGCCGAAGCAGCTGGCACTTCTCTCGCGGCATGTGGCCAAGGCTTGGCGACGTGCTGCTGCCGCAGAGGCCCTCCGAAGGCACCAGGCGCCGACATGCGGCGGTGGACGATTCAACAACGACCGTTCCACCTGCACGTCACCTGAGGACGTGCTGGACAACGTGCTGGACACGAACCTGGCACTTGTGCAGGACTGTGCACAGGAAAACCGTGCTCGTTCGCCAGCCCGATGTGGTCTCGACTTCGTGTCCTTTGCTCATGGAGGTGGGGCTGGTTGTAGTGGTAGTGTTATGGAGGAGGAGCAGTAGAAATAGCAGCAGCAGTGGCAGTGGCAGGGAAGTAGCAGTAGCAGTAGTAATAGTGCTAACTATTGTACTTATTAGTATAAGTGACTAGTAGCAGTAGTAGTAAAGGAAAGTAGTAGTGGTAGTGGTGGTGGTAGTAGTAGTAGTAGTAGTAGCAGGAGTAGTAGTAGTAGTAGTAGTAGTGGTAGTATTAGCAGCAGTAGTAGTAGTAGTAGTAGGAAGAGGAGGAGGAGGAGGACGAGGAGGAGGAGGAGTGTGTGAGCTGTCATGAGAGCATGCCTTGTTTGTCATGCATGCAGTGACATGTCTGCAGAGCTGCTACTCAAGCCTTGAGCTTGAGGTTGTAATTTACTTTCTAGGTCTAGGCGTGACAAGTGTGCACGGCAGACTGTAGGCCAGTGTGGCTTTCGAGTTGCAGGCCTGCGGTTGGACCGTCAGCGCGGCCTTGCTTAGGGACTGGAGCTCAACTCGCGAAGCCGAAAAACAGCGGGGCCAAGTCCGGTTTAGCTGGCTTCACAGTTGGGGGCTGTTCTGGAAAGCTGCTCCCCCAGGTCCCTTACGCGGCCGTTGCGGCGCGAGCCCTGCTCGTGTCCTGCAGCGGCCCTAGTGGGCGCCTGGACTGTGTCCGCCTGTGGCCTTCTAGGCGCGGCGATTCCGCGCCTGCGGCCTTTGCTGGCGCAGCGTGCGCCTTCATCATGTCGAAGGAGGTTGCTGGTCAGCCTGAAGGCAAGATGCTGCTCGAAGCGATCGAGGCAGGGTCGGTGCCTTACTCTGAGAAAATGGGGTATGTGAAGTGGTTCAAGTCAAGTGGAGGAAGACCGCTGGCACACGCCCGCTCAAAAAGAGTGACGGGGTGTTTACTACTGCCAACGAAGAGGTCGCTCTCTGGCGGTCGGTAATGGTGTTCCTCCACGATGCTGTGGAAGAAGAAGAGGAGGAAGACGAGGAAGAGCACGATGACTCTTCTCCTCTGGGTGAGGTGCTGCGGAGGACCTTGCTGATCCCTGTGCCTGGGGCCATCTCTCCCGCGGAAGTTCCCGCCACGAGCGACGCGCTGGTTGCCCCGACCACTGGCTGGCGCGCCGTCCGGTGTTTCCCCGATTCTGCGTCGGGCGGGACTTTCGGCGGGATCTGTGCCTGCGACTGCTGACAGCTTGCAGGCCGACCTTCTAAATGCACCGCCCGGACGTCGCGGATTACCTGCGGTGGACCTGGACCTGCTGAGCACGAAGGCGACGCTCCTCGCGAAGGAGCTCGGCCAGGTCGGAGGCGATTGGCACGCTACGAAGATGGTCCGTCGCCTGCGAAACCGCTTCTCGGTCGCGGCGCCTCGCGAGGGCGAGCACATGCGAGGACGCCAGCGGCCAGCGATGCCGCTGACGCCCAGAAGGAGATCCAGGCCATAGGCGAGCTCATTCTTGCCCGGGGTGGCAAGGAGAGCAGTAGTCCAGGCAAGGTCTGGAGCTACGTTCCGGCCGGTCTGGCGGGCGTTTTGCCGCAGCCGGCGCTTGCGAAGGTTGCAGGGAGCACCGGGCCTGCGAAAAAAATGAGATCATGATGGTGATGCCGAGGAGGCATAGCCGGAGAATGAGGGAGAGGATCATGCGGAAGAGGATGATGGTTAGGATCGGGCTGATTTGTTGGTGGCTTCATGATTGACCCCAGCGATGTACGGACTGAAGGAACCACCAGCTTGGTTTTACTTAGCCGGCAGAAGATCTGACTGCCCCGTTTGCTTGCTTGTTTGCTTGCTTGTTTGCTTGCTTGTTTGCTTGCTTGTTTGCTTGCTTGCTCGCGTGTTTGCTTGCTTCTTGCTTCTTGCTGGTTTGAGGAGCTGAGGAGCTGAGTGCATTTCAACCGGCAGGATTGCCAGGAAATCGCCGTCAAAGTTGCTCTGCAGCGCCTGGTTGTGGCGGTGGGGACCTGAGAGGAGCAGAAAAAATCGTACACGTTTCAGCTCCATCGCGTAGTTTCTGCCGAAGCTGTGTCGTGTGAAGCCCGGATTGTTCATGACACCACAAAATCGGGTTTGCCCTTGAAGAACTTTCAGCCGCTTTAGTTTAAAATTCAATCCACGGAAGCAGATGATGGTGGAGACCATGTGTTGAGACCGTTTTATCTCACCGCCACCGCTTCCTTAGGCTTCGTCAGCAAAACTGATTCCCGAGATTCCCATTCAAGAGACGCAATGCATGATGAAATTGCTTGACGACGTTACGCATTGAGACGGGGCTGCGTTGTGACATCATCCAGGAATGCCTGAGCTCGGCTGCATTGGATTTAAAAGAGTGCCCTCATCCCCAAGACTGGCAGGGACATTCTATGAAAGAACTATTTACACAGATACATATATATATATATAAATAAAAAAATCTCTGTGTGTGTGTGTGTGTGTGGGTGTGGGTGCGGGTGTGGGTGTGGCTGTGTGTGTAGATATCGATATCAACATGCACACATACAAGGATTTCTGCAGTGACCTCGTCTTTGTGAATGTGGAGGTGGGGGATTGAAGTTTAGGTTTTTCGGGTTTAGGATTGAACGTTCAGGGTATAGAGTTTCAGGTAAAGGGTTTGGGGTTTCGGATTCGGAGTTTGAGGTTTGGGCTTGTAGGTTCCGCCCCTTCCTCCCTTCCCACATGTGGGGACTGGCGGTTTTATGGTTCAGTGTTTAAGGTTTAGGGTTCTGTTGGGCGCAAGTGATTGGGTCGAGTTTGGCTCCGACAGTGGAGTGTAACCGGGGTCATGCATACAGTACTTCAGTTGATGTCGTAGAACCGACTGAGTGTGGTGGGCATTACCTGATGATCTTCCTGCGCTCGCCAAGGTTGGTCGCGCTCGCTGCAGAGTGAAGGCACGAACAGCTGAACAGTGACACGACTCTCACACCAAGTCGGATGGATTTGCTACAGTTGGCCGGACTTGTCCTTATCCTTGAAATACTTTCACAACTCCTGTGCGAGATTGGACCCCTGAAGGAGGGAGCTCCTTGTCCAGGACTTTGGTTTAGGGGTTCAGGGTTAGGGGTTTAGGGGTTTAGGGGCTTAGGGGTTCAGGGTTTAGGGTTTAGGGTCTGTTTAGGATTAGGGCTTAGGGTTTAGGATTAGGGTTTACCTAATGCAGGGGCCCTAGTAACTAGAACTCCTTTATACGAGCCCTAACAATGATATTAGTAATTATTAAGGCTTCTAAATTATAGTCTCCATTGGAGTTCCTTTGTGGTTTAACCAAGTATACGTGCACATATGAGGGATGCAGGGTCTCAGAGCTGATCGTAGAGTGTGGGTTTCAGGGTTCAGGGTTAGGTTTCAAGTTCACGGTTTAGGGTTTAGGGGTTCAGGGTTCACTGGGTTGCTGTTCAGGAACTTGAATTAACGTACTCTAATGGGGACATTCTTGTAAGTTAAACTAAGTCACCTATGGGACCTATAGTCTCCATCGGAGTTCTTTTTGGGTTTAACCATTTCTATACTGAGGATCCTATTTGGTAACCCCCAAAACGGAACTACAATGGAAACTATCGGTAAGGTAGGGCTTTAGGGTTTAGGGCTTACGGTTTAAAGGTTCAGTGTTTCAGCCTCTAGGGTTTAAGGGTTTTGTAGTGTAGGGTTTAGGGTTTACAGGGTTCCTGTTAAGGAACTTCAATTAAGTCACTATAAACAGGAAACCCTACTTTTTTTATATATCTCCATTATGGTACTTAGATTTAGTTCTGTAACATCAACATCAACCCAGTTTCGGGTTCAGTGTTTGCAGCACCTGTGACTTGTGTTGTCACCACCCGCGCGAGGCGCAAGCGTACTTGGCGCTGTGCTTCCATCACGGCTGGACATCTGGCAGAACGCGTAAAATCAACAGCTGAGTGTTGAGCAATGTTGAGCGTACTTGAACCACAACATGTTTTCGAAGCTGTGGTCCATTCTGAAGCGTGAAGTCATGTGTGCGGCATGACATGGCAAGACAGCTGGTAGATGTGCTTGTCACCACCTGTTCGTGTGCTCCCGTTGCTGCTTTCAGGATTCAGGCGAGGTACGCTGATTAGAGGTAGCGTAGCTGCGCTGGGCGGGTTGCAACCATGGGTCACGGAGGAAACAACATCATCCCCAATGTGCATTTTCGCAAGATCAATGGATGCCAAGCCGGACGCAAGAACCGTGTGTTCATGCGCACCTGGTTGGACCAGGCTGGTCGCAAGAAGCGTCGATCCAACGCGCGCAAGGCCAAGGCAGCCAAGGTGTTCCCGCGGCCGGCTGCCGGCTTGCTGCGGCCGGTTGTGCACCCTCCAACACAGCGTTACAACATGAAGCTTCGCCTTGGCAAGGGCTTCACCCTTGACGAGCTCAAAGAGGCGAAGATCCCAAAGAAGTACGCAAAGACCATTGGCATTGCCATTGACCACCGCCGCAGAAATCGCTGCACGGAGAGCCTCCAGGCCAACGTAGAGCGCCTGAAGCTTTACATGTCCAAGCTCCTCCTCTTCCCAAAGAAGGCAGGTGCCAAGAAGGTGCGAAAGGGCGACACGCCGCGCTCGGAGCTTCAGAACGTGGCCCAGAACACGCTCAAGGAGATCATCCCTGTGCCCAAGCCGGAGAAGCGCACCCGTGCCCGTGCCATCACTGCCGAGGAGAAGGAGGCGTCGGCTTACAAGCAGCTCAAGAAGGCACGCACCAACAAGCACTATCTGGGCGAGCGCATGAAGAAGGCCAAGGATGCAGCGGCCAAGGAGACCTAGACCATCGACTCAACCACGGACCAGCCGAACCAAACTCGCCTTGTGAAAATGCTCCCATGCTCGGGGCCTGTCCCCTCAGTGCCCCTGCTCCGCAAGGCTTGCTGACTTTGCATCCCACTGTCACTGTCCTCTGCGTTGGCTCAAGAACTGTCCATCATCACATCATCCTTCCTTGTGGGAGCGGGGCATCTAGAAGATGGCTGCGGCCTCATGTGAGCTCACATGCATGTCCGGAAGTGTGCTGACACCGGGTTTTTCAGCCAAGCCAGGCCGGGACCGGAGCCGGCTACGACCTCTCTGTTACCACCTTTTCCCCCGACGGCCGAGTCTTCCAGGCTGTTTCGGCTCTCCTGCCCTCTGAGAGTTGCTGTTGTGTTCAGACTGATGGCGACTTCAGGTGGAGTATGCTGGGAAGGCCGTGGAGAACAGCGGGACAACGCTTGCGATTTGCTGCAAGGACAGGAGCTCGTGGAAGTGGTTTCGCAGCCTCAGGAATACTTGCTTGACGTATCGTCACGTGACGATGCAAAATTCTTGTGCCATGCCTCTGCCAAGTCGCAGGACGGTGTGGTGTTCGCAGCAGAGAAGTTCTTGTCAGGGGCTCAGTTGTGCCATCAGTAGGACCTGGTTCAGCTTCTGCTTGGGAGGCAACTGGGCATTCACGGCACCTGCCACACGCTGCCATTGCTTGTGGTATGCTCTAGGCTCTCGAAAATGTTGGTGCCGGGCACCGCCAAGCGGATATTTCCAGTCCCGGGCTCATTTTAATTCGTGATGTGCCCTCCTTGGCAGAGGCAGAGGACGGAGACTTAGGTTCATCGACGTGCAGGGATGTCCATCGCTGGCATGGTAGCTGACGCCAGGCAGATCGTCAGTCAGAGCCCTGGCTCAGCGCACAGGGCTTCTAGCTGTGTGTGTGCCTGCAGGGGGCTGTAGGCCAGTACATTGCATCTCTCCATATCTCTCCAATTGAGGTCGGGCACGATCGGAAGCGACGCCATCTTCCCAAAGAAGCACGTGTTTGGTTTGTCCGTCAGCAGTTTTCCGAGCTCTTGCTTTACCGTGCTGAGGCAATATCAGAACGCGCAGCGAGCTCAGTGTGGAAAGCTTCTCCTGGGCTGCTGCTGCGGTCCCTTGTTTCCTTCGTCCCGCTCTGCTTCATCTGTCTTGTCACACGAGGCGTACAGTACCCTTTGATGTCCCAGTGTGGAAGGTACTGTGAGGAAGTTCCACCAGAGCTTTTGGCTGAACGAGCGGTCCTCGGACAGGAATCGGTCTAATGGTTTCACTGCTAGTTGAAGGAAGGAAGCGTATTGAGCGATCTGAGAAGATCACCAAACTCGAGCCTCGAGGCTTGGGTCTTTTCATGCACGCATACACCCTGCCTGCAGCTCAGCAACCGGCCACCCAAGGAAAAGGCCACAGGCCGGCATGCGCCGCTGACTTCAGCCACTCAGGTACTGGTCCGTGCGTCCGTTCGGCTGTGCGGTTCTGCTCGGCTGCGTGGATGAGGAGATGTTGCTGACTTTCCCGGGTTGCTCGCCTATCTCTCGATTGTGCTTCTGCGCTACATGCAATCACTTTACGAGCTTGGCCTGAGCCGGCAGGAGACCAAAAAGCCCGACTTATTCTGCATTGAGCCCAACGGCATGGTCTACAAGTGAGCGGCAGAGGGGCTTCCGTCGGGTTTCGATCTGCTTGCGTCCTTCCGTCCGTGTTGCTCAGTTCACAACGACAAGTTTGTCCAGGTACACAGCCACAGCAGAGGGCAAGGGTGCTGCCTGTCATGGGTTAACAGCTGAGCCCAACCTCAAGCGGATCGATATTCTGTCTGTTGCACTTGCACTTTCAAGCACGGACGCCAGGCAAGCAGGCAGCCAAGACAGAGATCGAGAAGGTTTTGGCGCACGAAGCTCAGTGCATGGAGGGTACCCTGCACTCCCCAATTGTGTGAAAGTGCTCATTTCAGTGAGCAGCTGCCCTCTTCTCACAGCCCTGGTTTCTTTCGCAGTTGCAGAAGGCCTCAAGCCGATTCAATGCCATGGCTCGGCAGGAACAATCCAGAGCTCACCTGTGAACAAGCCCTCGTCCACGTCATGGGCTGAGGTTTGTATGGCGGTTGCTTTAGCATGGACTTGCGCAAGTGTTTCCGGAACAGTGCTTCTTCGATCGGCATGACACCCAATGCATTGCAGCTGGGTAAACTGAGGCTAACTTAGCTGAAGCGGCATTGCAGAGAATCGCAGCGGCAGTGATGGCTTTGGTGGGTGATCATGCTTGACCAGGTTGCAAAGATCATTCACAAGGCTCTCTGCTGCCATACTGACTGGGTTGCCTCTAAAGCTGGGGGGAGCAGGCGGTTGACTGTTGCTGAGACAATCAGCACATGTACATACTTGCAAAGGCAAGTCCGTGGACATGTTCAGGTCCCACAAGCAACATTCCGGCTGTGACGACTCTGACAATCTTGCTTGCTGTTCGCAGGTGCACGATGAAAAGGACAAGGATTTCGAGCTGGAGATCTCGTGGATCTGTCCGGCATCGAATTACCAGGCAAGGGGCACTGCCATTCCCTCCGTGTTGTGTTCATGCACGAGCCTGCTTACCGCTTCAGGTCTTTCCGAGTCATTTGGTCAGAACGTGTCCACTTCCGTATATCATGAATGCAGACGAACGACTGTCTTTGTTCGGTTGCTCCGTGATCCACGCCGGTCAACGTCAATCAACGTGATCATGAAGCTTCAGTCGGATTCTCGGGAAAGCTGGCTCGAGATGGTGAATTGAGGGCAACATACCTCGCAGCGCTGAGAATAAGAGATGGTGTTTGAACCTCGGCCGCGACACCGAGACAGAAGGCCTTTCAGAGGATGCGACACGTGCCTCTTGTCGAGTCGAGAATAACAGACATGTTTCTCGCTTCAAGCAGAAAACGCCGAAAGTGAGACAGACCTAGAGCAAAGAGCAGCTGGGCATGAGAGCATGTTTCGTGATGCTGTGGAACGATGGCACAATGCAGCATCTCTGAATCTCAAGTGATACACAATGTGAGGCTATGCTAAGCTGGTGACGCACAATCGACTCACGACCGTGGAAACGGACACATTTATCGCGGGCTGTTCAAGGTAGAGCAACTTCAGCCAAACAAAGGAGATTGCAACTCTTCGCGATCTGAGAGTTTCCGTTCGAGCTGGCTTCTTTGGAAGGCTTGTAGGTCTTGCCAACTGTCCTGGAACCCGCTAGAAGCTTATGCTCTGCCTGCTGATGTGTGAATCTGTGACGCTCTGCTTGCCGTCGTCGTTTCAGCCAGACTCAGGGTCAGGGTCCTAGTTTTATGCCGTCTCATCTGGCCGTTCTGCGTGGAGATGTGTGGAACCTTAAATGGCAATCGCAAGCCTTCTGTCCTTGCCTGCCGAGCTCGAGTTCATCATGATCCAGAGTACGGTTACTACAGGGGTGGTGAAGAAGATAAGGGCAGTTATGGCAGAGGAGGCAAGCGACATGCCTTGAAGTGTGCTGAGAGCAGCTTCACACGGAAACTCAGAAGAATTCTGCATGCAGTAGTCAGTAGATACAGAAGTTTCAGACGTGCCGTCGCTTCTTCGCCAGTTCTCTGCGGTGCCAGCAGAGCAGCGGAAGGCGGCCGAGGCCGAGGCGCCGGAGTTTGCCGTAGGTCCGTGCAAACACACCTTCATGGTCCATAATCTTCCGAATTCCTTTCTTTTGATGCGTGTTTTTTTCTACGTCGACACTTTGTCACTTTTCTCCCGGTGGAACATCTGTTCGCCCTAAATGCCCCCTGCCAGTCCTGGGAGCGATGCCTCCGACACGAGACCTGCTCACCCGCAGCCACAAGTATCACGGTCCCACACCGCAAGGTCTGACCGCAAGAGCCACAGGCTCACACCACCATGCACAACACCCAGAATCACAGCCTGGTGCGATGCCACAGTCGAGGAAACAACGCCACGGCCCAGAGTGAAAGGAGGCCACTTTGAGCCACAGGCCTGCGAATGAGCAGAGGCATAACTGGGAGTCTTTGTAGCTCTGCCTGTCTGTCTGTCTGTCTGTCTGTCTGTCTGTCTGTCAACTTATTTACCTACCGCCCGTTTCTGCCTGTCGATCTGTTCATCAATCCGTCTGTCTATCTATGTACCCATCTACCTATCTACCTGTCTGCCTATCTACCTATTTACCTATCTACCTATCTACTTATCTACCTACTTACCTATCTGCCTATCTACCTATCTACCTGTCTACCTGTTTTCTTATCTATCTGCGCATCTATACTTCCATCCATCCTTTGTCCATATACCCATCTCTCCATCCATCATGTATCTATCTATGGTTTCGGGTTTAACCCATCCATCTATCCGTTCATCCATCATCTACCTATCTATCTGTCTATCCATCTATCCATCTATCTCTCCATCCATTTATTATCTGTCGGTCTGTCCGTCTGTCTATCTGTTTGCTGGTGTGTCTATCTGTCTATCTATCTCTCTGGCTATCTGTCTGGCTAGCTGTCTACCTATCTGTCTATCTGTCTGGCTTTTTGTCTGGCTATTTATCTAGAGTCCGGGTCGCTGTGGGAGTGC